GAACGTGTGAAACATTGAAAATCATGTGATAGGAAGAGTATGCTTGCATCATCAGGCATTCTATAAAATGTTCCACCAATCTTAACAAATTGCACCGTCCTGATGAGAATTGAAATGTCGCATAAGTACAGAGTACACACTCCTGTTTTGATAATCTCACAGTCAAGCAATGATTAGTTCACACATTTATTGTGCAAAATATTGCCTACTGTGGTGCCTACTGTGTGAATTTGAGAAGTACAGTAGAACTATCCCTTTGCTAGAATCCTTGTAGGGCATGCTTTCCTTTACGTTAAAGATTGTACTTCTTTCCATAATTCAATCGTTTTTTTTTTGTATTTCTGACGTCAAAAGCTGGTTATTGGAGATGGCAAATGTGTTCAGTCATCATCTTATGACTTAACTGATCAACAACGAGATAATGATAGCTTTAAATGTTTTCCAACTTGATTTGGTAATCATTGAATTCAAATCAATGAATAAATCGGAACAATCTCATTCGGTTCAATCAATTGTTAATGGGTTTGAATGTATGATTTATTTGATGTTGTGAGGACTGAACAATTTCGTGTTGCGTCAATCTCTATTGAATACTCATTTTATTTTCATCGATTCGAAATCAGAATAAAAATCTCAAGCAAAATTCATCGATTTTTTTAAACTTTAACATTTTAAAATTTACAATAATCAACAAAATTATGATCTCACAACGAAATCAAACTAGATCCATATGAACATCTTCCGAATTTTTTACATATTTACTTTTGTGTTCATCAAATAGCTTTCTGAGCCCTGTACAAAACAGCTCATGAGTTTCGTTGAGTTCTTTGTCGCTAGGGTTTTCAATTTTTTCTCAAATGAATTGGTGCGCCGATGACAGTTGTGATGGGATGTCTCCTCGGAACTAAACCATAATTGTACTGGAAAATGCCCCGGCCCAAAATGATTGGTGGAAAATGATTGATCTTCTGTTTGCAAATTTCTTGAATAAATCGTCGCCAAAATCCTGATTTGTTATAGTCAACAATGTCATAGTAATTGTTTTCACCAAATGAAATGGCCGGAACAAGTGAAGCTCCAGTTTGCAGGGCGACTCGCACAAGACCTCGTCGTTTTGCTACAACAAATCGATAGGTGTCTGGATAAGTGTAGTAAACTTCTCGAAATCCACCGACTATCAAAGCCACCGCGTTTGAGGTGTATCCATCACGATTCGACTTAGCACTGGGATCATTCGACTGGCTCAATAGATGGGTTAACGAATCCTCCGATGCCGAACAGACGCCACAACTTAAGATTATTTCACGCGATATCGGTAAGAGTGTATTCGCTTTGAGCGTTGTCAATCTTGGACGAATGCCGGGATAGAATGCTGACCATTTTGAATGACTTGTACCGAAATTTGCAGCTGCACCGATACTGAAGTGAGTAAATTGTATGATGTTTTTTGATTTAAGATGGTTTCATCATATGAAATTGTCATTTATCTGAAAAAAGTCAAACTTACCTGAAAATTCCATGTGGAAACACGCAAACCAAATAGTTCCGGTCAGGCGGTAAATCAGCTGTTTTTACTAAATCGATTGGAAAATAGTTTTTAGCGTGTTTCCATATGCTCCAACTTCGTACCCAAGATTTGCTAAAAGAAGAGGATTTATTGTTAATTTCGATTTTTTTTTCTTGTTTTTTTTTCGTTTAAGCGAACATTTTTACAATAAGAACATATACTGTTTGTATGCTAAAATGAAAACTCCAAATTGGGCTATAATTAAACATCAATTCATATCGATGAAAAAGTCAAATGAAGTCAATTGATTAACTCTCTCAACTAACCCAATGCCTCGACCGCCGCGATAACCCGTCTTACGATCATAGATTAAAAATGCTAAATATAACCCGCAAACTGTTCTCCAATAGTTGTTTCCAGCGATCTAAGTCCAATGTCATGTCGAAATCAGTAAAAATATATGAAATGATAAGAAATCAGTTTTAGTTCTTTTCCCATATTTTTGTTTTCAATCGACGTTTCATGTTACCAGTAAATAAACAATGATAGGAATACTGATTGAACCCAAGAAAGCAAAAATGAACACGAAAAACGCCACGCTCAAAACTTCCAAGCGACGATGCAATGGAACGCCGAACAAAGGTGTCCAATTTATTCTCATTGTTGATAAAGTTATTCGATTTCAGTTGTTTCAGATCAAGCTATTCGATTCTTATTTGAAATGTTCGACTTTTGATGAAGCTTATTATAATTTTTTCATAAACTTATTCGATGAAAAATGTGTTTGAATTTCAAACTTTGAAAATTGCTGTATTTTGATTCAATTTAATATTTCAGACAGGAAAAAAACCAAAAGCAAAATAACACTTTGTTTACACGGTAATGTTGCATCACAAATACGTCAATTAATCACTAAATTCTCGTGGAATGCATACAATATGTTCTAAAAATATTGCTCAACTGCATCGATTGAGCATCTTAACTTGAGAACAAACAACGTTTGACTAACGATAACAATATCACAGGCAAGTCTAACGATGCCAGCATGCGGTAAAACTATATGGACTGCGGATCTTGCGGTATGACATGGTCAAATGAATGTAAACAAATTAAACGCAAGGCATGAACGCACGCACGTGTGCGGTATCAAATACGTTCTAGCAAAAGGCAGTAGCAGTGAACTTTTTTTTTCAAAGTTTGTTCAAGTTCATCTTTGCTTCTGTGTAATCCAAATGTTTTCAAATGAAAGAATTGATTACTTGTCTTATCTCTTATCAGTTGCGCGCAAATCGCGCACATAGAAAAGCAAATTTTATATAGAACTTTTTTTTTCTTATCATTTTTCGCGCTTTTCGCGGAACTGATAAGTGATAAGAGATATTCGTTTTCAGCAATGTTATAGAAGACCTCGAGTGCTACAACTTTGCCGAAGACACCAAGTTATCTCTTAGCAGTTCCGCGAAAACCGTGGAAAACCACGAGGACCCGCCAAAAATGAATATACTCGCCTTTAACCATTTTTGAGTCGAAAGAAACTTACTCTTCTCTTTCATAACAAAGTCAGATGAACTTACTCTCCTCTCGATCTAGTCAATAGATTTCGATATGTGCTATTCATTGTGCTTACCATAGTCGCACGAGTACGTTTGTACTCACAACAAACATATACACGGTCCGTGATAGTATATGTGATACAATACATACAGATTCTGTATATTATCGATTCTGATTGATGAATTTCATGTAATATACTTCTGGGAGTTTTTGCTGATGTGCAAAATATTGCTTACAATACGAAAAAAATCGAACAAAAACAAAGAAAAAACCATCAAAATGTTTATTTGCTGATCACAAAATCTTCAAATCGAAAATAATGTGATTTATTTTGCTAGCGGCAATGTGTTAGTAATGTTTTTAGTGATGAGCCATTGATTACCGACCGCTGGTCGTATCGTTGATCGCTGTTGAAGCTAAAAAAAATATGGCAAAACTGATTTCTTCGCCCATTTATTTTGAAATTTTGAATAAAACTACATACTTTACGCTTTTTCCACAACTTTAGTTTATTCATTGCATATATTTGGATATCCGTTGTGAGTTTTGCCGTCAATTATGGATGACGCTCTACAACTGTGCAAAGTGTGACAATAAGCGGGTGGTAATCCCGAACTTTTGTACTGTTTCCTTATTGGAAAATCATTTTGTTTGTTTGACAACTAAAAAGTTGACGTTGACACCGAAAAAAGTGAAAGTTAAATGCATAATGCCTTTTGGCAGGTTACGGTTTTTGCGATTTTTAACTAGGGTTGATATAAATAATTTTAGTGGTTTTAAAACAGGAATAAAAAGAATTACATTGGTAATCTCGAACTTTTCCGTACCGTTGGCCTGCGTTGTCCGTAGGTACTTTTGGGTATTTTTTGTGAATTTTCTTGAAATAAAGGCAGTGAAAATATAATAATAAAAATAAAGTGAAAAATCGGTCACTTTAACTAAAACTTCGAAAATTTTGTATGAGAGGTACCCGAAAAACGATTCTCATTGGCTTTAAACTTTCTGAGGTTTCATTTTTTTGGAGAAAAAATAAGATTCTGAAAGTTTCATGTTGATCGCATTTTCAGAAGTTTGGTTTTTGCCCCTCAATTTTTTCCAAGAAAATGTCGACCAAAATTGAAGACAAAAAATCAAACTTCTGCAAATGCGATCAACATGAAACTTTCAGAATCTTATTTTTTTCTCCAAAAAAATGAAACCGCAGAAAGTTTGAAGCCAATCAGAATCGATTAACGGGTACCTCCCATACAAAATTGTCCAAAAATCGGTAATTTTAGTCAAAATTTCAAAAAATTTGTATGGGAGGTACCCGTAAATCGATTCCGATTAGCTTCAAACTTTCAGAATCTTATTTTTTCCCAAAAAATGAAACCGCAGAAAGTTTGAAGCCAATCGAAGTCGATTTACAGGTACCTCCCATACAAAAGTGTCAATTTTTTGAGGTATTTCTTAGGGCAAGTACACCAGGATCGAATCGAAAATGGGTCATCTTCGAACTTAAACTAAGTTTTTCGGATACAAAACTTTTGGCATTTCCAGATTTTGATTATCACAATTATTTTTTGAGTTATCGTGTTTACAAACAGCTACGACGACGAAAACGACAACGACAACGACGGCACACGAACGGAAAAGTGTCTCAAAAAGTGGTTTTCTACACGTTTCATGAGTTTTTATGATGATCTAAGCCAATTTTGCGAAAAAAGTTTCCGGGACCAATTCCTATACTTTCCCTTGACACGTTGTTTACGGAAAAGTAAAAATGTTCCAGGTCCCAGAAAAGTTATTGCGCTAGTGAGTAAATCAATTATTGGTTGTTATTGTCTTGAGCACCATATAGTAGGTGAAAGCCATTTTAATCATCTATAGAAAAATTTTAGAAAAAATCATTCTCCATAATAATATCCATTCCTCGAGTCTGTTATTTTCTTTCTATTTTTCGTGTTGTCTCACTTACACGGGTAAAAGTTTCCAAGTTCAATGTAACGATGTAGCCATTATAGCAAAGTGGTTTTTGTGCATTTCCAATCAGAATGATGAAATATTTCTGCAAATTAACGGGCAAGCTCTGCCAATTGGATTCAAATAAACAGTCAGCCATTT